CGTATAGACACTAGAGGCTCAATTCACAAAGCTTTAACATAAGGATAAAGCCAGACAATCACTAGGCCCAGGAACATTACTGAGGGAGTGATGTCACTGCTCCCCCACGTCATTGACAGTGCTGATTTCAGTGCCAGGTGCTATGTAGCTGGTAAGGGGGTGCTGGCACTGTGAGTATAAGTTGGGGGCCTTTTGCCCAGTCAATGTTATTTTGATCTGAATTAGTAAAGTAACAGTGTATCTTGAAGCCATACGCCTGTTAAGTTGGCTTTCTGGACTATCTTTGCAAGCCAATTGTTTCTCAAGATTTTTTTTTCAAATCACACAGAGTTTCATGGCAACTGAACCAGATTGTTTTAAAAACAGAATAATACACATGAAAATACTTCAAACCGGCGTTAACCAGCCCCCCTCCCCATGCATTTCAAGGGTTTAAGTGGTTGTAAAGGCTGAAGGTTTGTTACCTTCATGCATTCTATGGATGAAGGCAAAAAACCTTCAGTGTGCACCTTCCCCTAATACTTACCCGAGCCTGAATCTAATCCAGCGATATGCACGAGAGCTGAGGCTCTGGGTCTCTCCTTCCTCATTGGCTAAGACGCTAAGACACAGCACTGTATATCCCATAGACATACAGAGGTGGCTCCGACGCAAACATGCAAGAGAAGGTAGCTTGTCTCTGGGGGCACTCAGCAGGGGGTGCAGAAATTCAGGTAGGGACCCAAGAAGAGGAGGATCAGGCTGCTCTGTGCAAAACAATTGCACAGAGTAGAAAAGTATAACTTGTTTGTTATTGTTAAATAAATAAAGACTGAGCCTTTATAATCACTTTAAATGCTGCTATGTCTGGGGAATTTCAGAGCAGACTCTATAACTTACCTGTCTCCAGTGGTGTATTTAGGTTTTATGCTGCCCTAGGCAACACAAAAATTGTTGCCCCCCCTGGAGAAAGAGCCTGACATTGACCAAGAACACTCCTGCCCTCCACCCGAGCCTTCCACTACTACTGCCCCCCATACACTAGCCACACTCCCCAATGGGGAGAGAGAAAAAGACACTCACCTTCACAGCTCCGGACATCCCCAGGAACGAGACTCAGGCTATGCATACACCGTCATGAACCCCACAGCCTCTCTTGGAACCCACGAGGTCCCCATGTCACGTGTGTTCCTTCTTCCATCCCTTCTTCAAAGGGGCAGTGCTGCCCCCCCTGAAAAAATGCCATCCTAGGCAAATGCCTTGTTTGCCTTGTGGTAAATACACCCCTGCCTGTCTCCCCTTTCCAGTCGGATCCAATGTTTTTCTCCTCCACCCAAAGGTCTGGTCTGACTGTGGGGGAACCAGTCACAGGAGCAAGCAACAGGGTAGATATTTTCTCTGGGGCCCATTGCAAGGCTGACATTTTTAAATTTGGACATTAAGTTGGAGTTGGACATTAAGTTATATAAAAAAGTTTATTTTACCAAAATAATGCATGTGGTAAGGTTGCCATTTATCCCAGCTTCCTAGTGACTGTCTGCATTGTGTGGGGTCTGTTACAAGGGGCCCAGCACCCTAATGTTTGAAGTGCACAGATTTCAACTGATCACACTGCTCAAGGGGCAATTCAAAAATGGTGTCGCCGAGTATGGGTGTGGCCATTCATCCAGCAGTGTGATGAGCTGGACCCAGAGATGAGGCTGCGCCCTGAGAGATGACTAGCTGCAATGTGCAAGTAACTGCTCACTTGATCCCTGAACTTTACTCCTGACCTCTGAACCCATGTCACCATAGGTAAAGTTTTATTTAACCATACCCTTTTAAGCCCCACCCACTTCTACAGTCTAAAATTGTGGGCATACTCACAATTCGCATCATTCCCCTTGTTGCCATTTTTTTCAGGACGTCTTATAAAATGGGGGTGGGGTTTGTGGATGTGGATGTGGTTAAAAATGAGAGTGGTTTTGTGGCTATGGTCAGTAGGTAGTCCCCAGTTTTAATTTTGAAAAACTGGTAACCTTAGGGCATGGCTAAGACCCATATCATAAAAGAGCCAATTTAATGCTGTGCAGATTTTTGGGGAGGTCTTACATACAGTATTTTTTTTTACTTTACACTAAAAACTTGCTATTAATTTACTTAGCTGTGTAATTGCAATAAATAAATTAGATTACAGGTTCCCTTGGGGGATTACACCAAAAGCCTGTGACACAATGGAGTTTAAATACTCCAAGAAGGTTATTTACTAAAACTGGAGAGTGCAAAATCTTGCCAAAGCTTAAAGTGGTTCTAAAGGCTAAAGTTTTTTTTACCTTCATGCATTCTATAAAAAAAATCTTCTGTGTGCAGTGCTCCCCTCCCCACCCATCCTTACCTAGCCCCCTTTGATCCAGCGATGTTCAAAATAGCCTCGGCTTTGTGCGGACTCTCCTTCCTCATTGTCCGAGACAGCAGCAGGGGCCAGTTGGCTCTCGCTGCTGTCAATCACAGCCAGTGGTCCATTGAGGAGAGAGGAGGGGCGTGCAGTGGCTTTATGTGTCTTAGGGGCACATACAACAGTGGCTTGGGAGCGAGCACAGAGCAGTGCCTCCACAGCAAGCAGCTTTCTCTAGGGGGTACTGCTCGAAGGGGAGGAGCCAGAGCGCTGGTGGGGGACCTGAAAAGAAGAGGATCAGGGCACCTCTATGCAAAAGCACTGCACAGAGCAAGTAAGTATAACATGTTTGTTATTTTGTAAAAAAAAATGAAGCTTTAGTATCACTTTAATTGAAAAAGCTGAAGTTAAAGCTTATTTGCTACCATGCACAGCTGCACCTGATTCTGAGTGCTCCAGTTTTTGTAAATCCCCCCTGTGTGTTTTCTTGAGTTTTAAGGAGCAGGGCCTACATTTGCATTCCTAATTAATAAGGTCTATATCACCATGTCCACCAATTACTTTTCTGTTATTTTCAGACAGTGCTAAAAGGTAACATTTTGTTGCATAGGATTGTATTATACTTTTTTTTAGTAAGATGTTTTACGCTTTATGTATGCTTACGTATACTGTACATCTACAGTCTAAGTGATATATAAACATAGGGATACAACGTATTGCCATGTTTCTGTAAGATTTGCAGTTAATATTTTTTGGAGCAGGTGTGGCACGCAGCAAGCATGACATGAATATATATGGTAGAATATTATTCTTTTACAACACAGTGATTGACCACAGGTCACAAGAATATCATTTGACAATGTGTCAAAGGGCATACAAAGACAGGAATGACACCTACGTGGGTGTGGTTATAATTTGTTACCTGTGTTATTTCTTCACCTTAAATGGAAATCTATTTAAACTTCTTTGTAGGATATTGGGTTATTGCAATAGTACCAGGCAACCATAATGATGCATTTCAAGGAAAGTGTGTCCATGACAGTCTGTTCTCAGAGGAAGTGGATATCAGTTACATTGGTCATCATTCAAATCAAAAGAATGGAAACAAATAATGGTGAAAAGGAGGTAATGTTGGGGAACAGCATACCTACTAAGTACAAATCTAAATTCTCATCATTTGTGTTTTTAATTTATCGCCGGTAGGAATTACGCTCTAAACTCAGATTTTATTTATGTTGTTAAGAAATATAATTTCCAAGAAAAAAAAAATTAAAGTGCCAGTATGCCAAGAAAGGAACACAACAATGAGGATTCAATGCCAGACATAGTTTTGACATATTACGTTGTAGAAGAAAAGCATAAAACTGTGAGAAAAAGTGTATAAACCAATAGGAATTGCCTATAGTTTTATGAATGGCTTTATAAAAGTAGCCTGATCTTCACTTATACGGTATATACTGTATATTCTTAATAAACAGCACACAGAGCACATTAAATGACCAATGACCTAATTTATCACACTATTTCTTCAATTAAATGATCACAAAATTAAATTGAACAAATAGCGTGATCAATTAAGGTCATTGGTGGAAAAAGTATGTGAACTTTGAGATTTATAACATCCTGCAAAGTAAGTAAAATTCAACATTCCAATCAGTTCAGAAGGGGATTTTACACAAATCCATTGTGCACAACAGAATCCTGTTGCAGTGCAATCTGTCTGAATCAAAGGAGTTTTTAGAGGACTTTAGAGGAAGCAATCATAAGATTGGAAAGGGTTACAAAGAATTTTTGACATGAGCCACCTTTGGTCTACAGCTATACTTTACAAATGTTGTAGAGTAATCTCTCTACTCCTTTTTGGATCACTGTTATATTGCATGCCCCCAAACTCTTTGGAGACCTGGTCCCTGTAGGACATCACCCCTAGGCCATTAAAGCATGACATCCCATGCTTTAGTATATATACATAGAACACAGGTGTTGGCCAAGTACTTCTCACTGCAGCCCCGAGCACCAACTGGAGAGACCTTCTGTTTGAGGATATTTTCAGTTTTTACTAGTTAGTTAATTTAAAGGTTTACATTTACAGTTTATACATCAAGGAACTTAACAGTGTAAAGCATTTGTTCAAAAAAATATGACAGTGTAAAATGGCATGTTTGTTTTTAGTAGACCTAGGTAATGATAAGATCACATTTTGGGAGCCATTTTATGCATATATGTAGAAAATTCCAAAGGCTTCTCAAGCTTTTTCTCACTAGACAGTGAAATGGGAATATGAGAATGAAGGTGAAATCAAAACTGACAAAATGAAAAAGCACAGAAGACATCAACTTCCCAGCATGTAATTAAGCCATTATTTAGTTTAAAAGACAATAAAAACTTAATAGGATTCAAGTAACAAGACATTATGGGAAGTAAACTCAAATTAGTTTTATATTTCAGAAAATAAAAACGATGTGTAGTGAGTGAGGTATAAAGAGCTGACTTGTTTAGCTGAACACAGAATGACATGAATCTTTACAGATACATAATGAACTGTACAATGGATGGTGGGTGCCTATAGCTGTGGCCTTTATGGCTTCCCTGCTGTGGTAATAAATAAAATCTTCAAGGATTTTCAGCAGAAAATTAGGACAGTTGACTAATTTTTATCTTCCACAATCTGAAAAAGACATAGTTGATTAGAGCCATGAATTAATACTTTGTTATACACTGTAGAAATGTAGAATGGAAACAAATGTGTATATTAATAAAAAAAAATAGAATGTATAGATGTCAAAGTTCAGTTGCAGCATTGGGCTGTATTTCTACTTTAAAATGTTAGTTCACCTTTACAGAAAATCTGCAAAAGGTGACCTAATACTGGACTACCTTACCCCAGATCTCACTGTACTTACCTCCCATGATCCTAAGCTGTTAGCGCTCCCGCAAGCCACTCCACCGGTCCGGGGATTTGAAATCCCTGCTGCTCTCTCTCCTCTCCATTCTGCACTGCCAGTATGGACCAGATGGATTCTAATTGGTCAACACCATCACATGGATGCTCATATGGACTCCATCATATGAGCATCCTTCTGCTTTTGACCCATGGTCCGCATTTTTATAAATGTGTTAAATATATTACCATATAAATGCTTCTTTTTCAACCCAATTGAAGTCACAGAAATACAGTAGCTATTGAGTCGAAGAGATGTTGTATTAACAGTCTACAATTTGATAATACGATCTCCACGTTCTTGTAACAGAAGATGTGTAGTATGTCTAAACATGACTGCAAATTCCAGGAGGCACCAGGATTTGACCGTACTGGCCAGTGCACCCTGTGAACTACCAAACCTGATAAAATACTCCCCCTCTTTTCCTCAACACTACAAGATTAATTGTAATGAGGGTTATGACCATGATGAGGGTCATGACCATTACTCATTTATGTCAGCATATCGCACTCAAGTAGGAGGGCAGGGACATTTATTTAAGAGAAACACTACTGCTGTGTTTGGATGTTTTCATCATTAGTCAGATGAGGGAAGTGTTGTGTAAGTGGAGATTATGCATAGATTATTGAATGGATTTTTTTTTTTTAGTGGACCTCTCAAATATGGTGTTAGTGCCAAGTTATTTTACAGAAAGTGTGGTGTGGAAGTTCAAGCATACAGTGTCTCAATACTCAGAAGTTTGGGTGCAAAGACTAATGAGGAGGTGCAGAACATATGAGAGTTTTTTTTAATTTACCAGCTCAGCATCTTCTGTGGCCTCCACAGATGGTTCTGTAGCAGCTTCTTCGGGATGTGCAAAGTCTTCCTATAATTGTATAAAGTTAAACACAGGTTTAGAGCTACATACATTTAACTCTATTAAGATAAATATATAAATTATAGCCTAATATAGCTGTGATTCTGAGGAATAGTTAAATGCAGTTATTGGGGGTATTTGGATCCAAAATTCATATTTAAGTGTTTCCCAAATGAAGCCCATACAGACCACCATGAGTTCATGTTTTCCAGCCTTTTGGAAAGCTGTGATGGTGTAATAGAAAATCAGTATATGTAATGCGGGAAAAGATTTGTAAACCTGAAACTTCAGTGGATTGCTTTGTAAATGACTGATTTAAATAATGACAGCACAACTCTTGTTAGGTCAACCTAGAGAGACCAGTCAGCATTATTTTATGTAATCTAAGTGGTCATTATAAACTACATCACTCTATTAGGTTTCTTTCAGACAGGCAGCAGTGGTGGTGGAGGTGCAGTGCTTTAAAGAGGGAGGTATAGCAGCGGTCGGCAGGCATCAAGGAAGTTATCCTGCTGTTTCTTGAATGTCTACTTTTTTTTTTAATCCCAAGGGGGATTTCGTAGTAGAAAAAAAAAAATCATCACACCGCAGACTGTGTTTTTGGCTCGCTGTTGGGGTACACTCTCATTGAACTCAATAGGTGAGTCTGTCACACTCTACAGCAGGGGTGTCAAACTGGCGGCCCTCCAGCTGTTGCAAAACTGCAAATCCCATCATGCCTCTACCTTTTGGGAGTCATGCTTGTAACTGTCAGCCTTGCAATGCCTCATGGGACTTGTAGTTTGGCAACAACTGGAGGGCCGCCGGTTTGACACCTGTGCTCTACAGCCTGAATTTAAAATACGGCAGCATGTGTATAGCAGTGCCAGGCTGTAATGTTAGCATTTGGGTGGGCCATGACTCAGCTGGCTGTTTTTACTGCCCTACTTTCATCCTGGGTGCCCTTGTAAACCCTTTAGGTTTTTTTTTTATTAGCTGCAAGGAAATGTCCATATTGGCTAATTCTGCTGTTCTTAATAAACATCTTAGTACAAAAAAAAATGGAAGTTACAGAAAAGAAATGCTTTACTTTTTTTTCATTCACTTTTACAAGTACCCTATACATTTACATTTTATGGCTAAAATGCATCCATACAGTCTAGTACTATAACAGAAAGATATGTTTGTCTGCATCTCTGGTGTTTTTTGTAGTGTTGTCATTTATGCGCAAATTACCACACACCTTAATATACAAGAAATTGGTGTACATAGTCAATTATTCATAGTCCATTATTTTATCAACATATACATTTCCATATACCAGTGATACAGTTGTCTCTTGTTCTTGTTCCTCCAGTACAAACTTGTTTCATAGAAACCTGAAATTCCTTAAAGCAGGTCATCAGAAACTGACAGTAATCCTACAGGATTTCATCATGGTACAAATTAGTATGACATTTACGTAATAATATATCCCCATGACTCTGGGATATCATGCAACCTTTCGTTGTTTGTTTCATGTTAGAGTGTTTTATGAGTGCCTTGTGATTTATCACTGAGATCTGTCTCCAGTTCAGTTATTATTATTATACAGTATTTATATAGCACCAAAGGGTTTGCCCAGCGCTGTACAATTGCGAGGGGGACAGAACATGAGACAATACAGTAGCAATACAATACACAAGGGATTCGAGGGCCCTGCTCTTTCAAGCTTACAATCTAGGAGGGAGGGGATAGTGGTGCAGGAGGAAGTGGCTGTGGGGGATGGAGTTGTGGGAGGAGTGGAGGAGATTGGTTGTTAGGTGAGAGTGGGGTAGGCTTCCCTGAAGAGATGGGTTTTCAGGGTGCGCCTGAAGGTGAGGAGGGTAGGAGACTGTCTGATGGATTGGGGTAGGGAGTTCCAGAGGATGGGGGAAGTCCTAGAGAAGTCCTGCAGTTGGGCATGGGAGGAGGAGACCAGGGAGCTAGAGAGTAGGAGGTTCTGTGAGGAGCGAAGGGCACGGGTAGGGTGGTATTTGGGTATCAGGTCAGTTAGGTAGTTTGGGGCGGCGTTGTGAATGACTTTGTAGGTCAGAGTTAGTAATTTGAATTTGATGCGCTGGGCAATAGAGAGCCAGTGAAGGGATTGGCAGAGGGGGGTGGCAGATGTGGAGCGGTTGGTGAGGTGGATGAGTCTAGCCGCTGAGTTCAGGATAGACTGGAGTGGGGATAGCATTTGTTTGGGTAGGCCAGTGAGAAGGGAGTTGCAGTAGTCCTGGCGCGAGATGATGAGGGAGTGTACGAGTTGTTTAGTAGTGTCTGGGGTGAGGAATGTACGTATCTTGGAGATGTTGCAGAGGCTGCATGACTTTGATAGTGATTGGACATGAGGTTGGAAGGAAAGGTTTGAGTCCAGGGTGACACCCAGGACTTTGGCGTGTGGGATTGATAGTGGCGTTGCTAGTCGTGATGGAGAGGATGGGGGGGGGCGCGGGGCTGGGGGGAAGACCAGGAGCTCAGTTTTGGACAGGTTTAACTTGAGGAAATGGAGCGACATCCAGTCTGATATGTCGTCCAGGAGGTGGGCGATGCGGGCGGAGAGTGAAGGGGTGGAGAGGTAAATTTGCGTGTCGTCAGCACAGAGGTGGTAATTGAAGCCGTGGGAGTGTATCAGTTTGCCAAGGGAGGAGGTGTAGATGGAGAAGTGGAGGGGTCCGAGGACAGAGCCTTGGGGGACTCCAACAGAGAGGGGGAGAGAGGGGGAGGTGGCAGCATTATAGGTGACTCTGAAAGAGCGTTGGGATAGGTAGGAGGAGAACCAGGAGAGAGCAGCGTCCTTGATGCCAAAGGAGTGCAGTTTGGTAAGGAGGAGGGGGTGGTCCACTGTTTCGAAGGCCGCAGAGAGGTCGAGGAGCAGGAGGATGGAGTAGTGGCCATTAGCTTTGGCGGTTAGCAGGTCGTTAGTGATTTTAAGTATGGTGGTTTCGGTGGGGTGTAGGGGACAGAAGCCAGACTGTAGTGGATCAAGGAAGTTGTTATCAGTGAGGCTGGCGCTTAGGTGATTGTAGGATAGGCGCTCAAGGAGTTTGGAAGTGAGTGGTAGCAGGGAGATGGGTCTAAGGTTGTTTAGGTCAGTGGGGTCAAGGGAGGGTTTTTTGAGTATGGGGATGATGTGTGCGTGCTTTAGGGGGAGGGGAATGTGCCAGTAGAGAGAGAGAGATTGAAGATGTGGTGAGGGAGCGAATGATGGAGGAGGGGGGTGACAGGAGGAGTTGTGAGGGGATAGGGTCCAGGGGGCAAGTGGTGAGGCGGGCTTCAGTGAAGACCTTAGTGACCTCCTCAGTGGTAGCAGGGCTGAAGGAGCGGAGCGTTGGGGAGGTGATAATGTGCGGGGCGTTAGGTATGGTGGGGGGCAGTGCGGTTACGAGGTCAGAGGAGGGGAGAGTTGAGGGGGTGATGGAGGGAGGGGGGCTAGGTGGAGAGGTAGATTGTGAGTTGACAATGTCCTTACGGATTGCATCAATCTTGTTTTGCAAATGATTGGCAATCTCCTTGGCGGTGAGTAAGGTACTGAGTGGAGGTATATATATCATTATTCCTTCTGCAAGACTTCCCAGGGCTATGGAATTTTCTATAGAAACCAGCCTCATTCTGGTTATTCGGGGCTCATTCACACTAGGTGCAGTGAGTGGCAAATTTCTGCACTGAATAAGCCACAAGGACACATAGAAATCAATGGTTTGCTATGATATATGTTCATACCACAATGATGGTGTGATGTGCAGTGTGGAAAAATACAGGCATGCTGCATTTTTCCATAAGCACTAAATGGCACCGCATGTCACCGCACTGCAGCCAAACACATTGTGCTGTCATCGCTGTAGAGGCTTCCATCTTCACCCATCTTCCTTCCGGGTTCGTGAGCTCCGAATTCTGACAGGCTGGGCCGCGATGACGTCACTCCCATGCATGTGCGCGGGAGTCCTCGGCTACAGCACACAGCTCTGAAGGAACAGCACGGGTATGCCATTTCTTCAGAGTGAATGTGCCGGATTAAATGAAGAGAGAATATCTCCTAGACAGTGCAGTGTATTTATTTTACCTACAGGTAAGCTTTATTATAAGCTTACCTGTAGGTAAAATTAAAAAACAGAGTTTACAACCACTTTAATGGCTCTGCACATTTTACAGCCCTATATATGGCCTGACCATTAAAATAATGTTTTTAATGTGCATGCTAATCATGTAATGGGATACTAAGAGTATACAGAATGGCTTGTGTGAGATGAGCATCTAAACATGGCATAGTTAACTTTTCTGAGGTTAGAAAAGACTGTTACTGTTCCAGAGTATGGGGATACTGTGTATGAGACTTTTTCACTGCTTATCTGCATATGAGGAGGTAAAAAAGGAGCATCTTAAGATTTTTAAAGGGCATAAATTAGACATCTGATTTCCTAACTACTTAACACATTTCTGAGGCTCTAAAGTGCCAGGATAGCAGAAAAACACTCAAAATTACCACATTTTGGAAAGCAGACATCCTAAGGTTATACTAAGAGGTTTAGTGAGTCTTTTAAAGATAAAATTTTTGGAAAATGAAAAAAGAATAGAATTTTTGTTTTAAAAGTTTTTTTTACAAAGTTTAATTTAGGTTATTTCTCACATACAGCATAAACAAATTTAGTATTACACCCCAAAACACATTCTGCTACTTTTCTGGGTTAAGGGGATACTACGTTTTTAGCTGCTTAGCTATATAGAGGGGCCAAAAATCCAAAGAGGATCTTCAGCTGTTCAAAGGGCATAAATTACAAATCTGATTTCTGGACTACCTATCACATTTTGGAATGCAGAGACCCCGGAGTATATGGTAAGAGGCCTGATTTTTTTTTTCCAAGGAACTCTTCATCCTCCTAATTATTGGTGGCCTTTAATGTACTGCTGTTTTATACAGGTTCATACCAAGAGACTGAATTTGACTGAGGTCTCTCCACTACTCTCATCAGAGTAGGAGTTTTATGTGCCTCCTCACTACATTTCTTGGACAT